GTCACCGCCGCGGCTGTGTCAGGACACCGATCGTGAGGTGCGGGGCTGGGAGCCCGACTTCAGACCGCGAGGAAAGAGGGCGGCAGCAAGTACATTCGGTGCTTGGCTCGGCCTTCTTTTCGCCTCCCACTGCTAGACTAGAAGGGGCTTCTGCAGGCCCGAGGTGGGCTTTGCAAAGAGGAACAGCCGGGAGGACGGCGTGCTACGAAGAGCTGCTGCGCAGGAGGAAATGGCCACGCCAGCTCTGTCTGTGCCGTCTCCCTTTTCTGTTTCCAGGGGTAGGAAAGACTGGAGTTCATGGTTTTCAACCGGGGACGTTGTGCGCTGTAGCTCTCGCGGGGTGTCGGGCACCGGGCGGGAGCTGCGTGTGCGCTCAGCATGTGTCAGTGCCCGGTAAGAGCGCGCACTGAGCGGCTGTCAGCCAATGAAGGACAGTCCCCGACTCTTCCCCGCCGTTAAACTAAAAGGTTCACTCACAAGGAGTGGCCGCTGTGTGACTTCAGCCCTAAAGGTCTCTTATCAGGGCAGAGTCCAAATAATTCCAGATTAGAACATGGAGGCAGGAGAAAGAGTCAAGGCTTTGCCAGACATGCAAAAAGCGCTGATATCTAACACCTGGCTTCTATAGCAATTTGCTGCGTGTAGAATATTGACTCAGATGTCAAAGTGCGGATGTTGTTCTTACGTTATCTTTTTCTGCTTTTCTCTTCCTGGCTCACGGCGAACCTGAGGGCTTTAAGGAGTGCAGTGTAGACAACCACAAGAAATCTCAGCTAGCGATTTACCCTCATCTGAAACGCAACGGGTAAGTTTATCTTATTTATACTTTAACAATCGTGCCACCGTAGTGCCCTGTACGGGTTTCAGATACCATTGACTGGGCTCCGAGTTTGTTATAGTATATTCTGGTGTTTCTTTCCCCGAGGGGTTTGAAGAGGTCCGGTATTGAAATTCTCCTATTTTGGGTAATACATACTTTTATTAAAAATGAAATTATTATTAAAATATTATGCTACCTCAGGATAATGGCGACCACATAAACTCAAGTTTGTGGGTCGTATTTAACTTCAAGCTCAGACTCAGCTTTTTTTTGTTTCTAAAAAATCCTCCACTGCACGTTTTCCTTTCCCTCGGGGTGATTGATTTGCCTCCCCCAGAGCCCAGACTCCAGCTTTGTGCTGTGTGCTCTTGGATGATACAGGTCGATGTCATTTTAGGAAGTGCCTTTATTTTTTCCACCGCTAGATAATGCCCCGTGTGTTTTTCTGTTAGCACTTTTGCTGCGGTTGTTGCTCATCATGGCTTGACAGTAGGTCCCCACTGTGTGGTAAGTACCCACCCTGCACAGCTTCCTGGCTGAGGTCAACACGGGGATCAGACGGGGTGCTTGCATGACCTTTCGGAACACAAGCGCTCAGAAATGACAGTTCAGCATGCTCTTTGGCAGCGTCTCTTTGGGCATTAGGGACAGTGATTTGATTTTCCTAAAGATTCCATATCGCAAACACTGATTTGCTTTCGTTACAGTCCAAATGCTTTTTGTTACAGGGATCCTGGCATATTGTGAGTTAGAGGAGGGGGACATAAGGGTATGAGGTAGAATTACGCAGTTTGTAAAGTGAAGTTACAGAACATCTTGATGGGGGGGGTGCTTCTCAGGAAATGAGTTCTCCTGGAGGCATTCAGACATTAAAGAATAAAAATTAGATAACTAGAGCAGATTATTTTCAGTCCTACATATTTGTGAATCTACACACAAGTAGATGACTAGAAAGCCAGGGCCTATTTCCCTGCTATTTCATCCACAGTCCGGATAATATTCATCAGCCCTGCCTCGCCCCAGAGCCAGTCCGTGTAGGGAGCACATCAGCTAGCCGGGGGTCCCTTTGGAGTCATGAGGAAACCGAGAAGAGAGATCTTGGGAGGCTTGTTGGTGTCCCACCGTGTGCGTTCTCGGGGAACTGGAGCGTACACTTCCCACCAGGGCGTGTTTTGCAAATACAGTCAGAGCTCCGGGCCCTCACGTCCCATATCCAAGATTCAACCAGCCGTGGACTTGAAATATTCATGGAAAAATTTTGTCTGTTTTAAACATGTACAGATTTTTAAAAAACGTTTCTAAACACCTCTCCCTGCTGCCTTGGCCTGGAACACAGGTCTGGCATATCAAATGAACGAGTAAAATACTTCCAGATAACCTAGGAAGGGGTCGTTGATGACTTAACGTGACAGACAAGATTGGCGAAGGTCGGTAATGTTCCTAAGGGAAGGTAGTGATGCGATCAAATGTTAACTAGAGCGGCTTCCCCTGTCGTCTTCTTGCAGTGGGTAAAAGTGTTTATAACAAAGCAGGGACAGGAAGCCCAGCTTATCTTGATGTTGATCTGCTTGATTTGTGTGCTTGTTACTCCGGTTTTGCTGGCTTCCTCGATCTGGTCATCCTCTTACATTTTCCACCAGAGCTGCTCCACCGAGCAGTACTCGCAGGCCCTTGGCCCAGTGCAGAAGTGTGTCTTCCTCCTCGCCTGGAGTCTGAAGAAGCTGTGAGGTTGTGCTCCCAGCTGGCACTGCTCTGGCGGAGGCCCAGCAAGGGTTTAGGTTGGGGTTGTGGATCTGCCTCTCCATGGCCTGCACAGGTCTCTGAAAAATGGGATTGATAGCAGCACCCATTTTCTGTTTTTTTTGTTTGTTTTTGTTTTTTGGTTTTTCTTCCAAAAGGAATCGAACTCACGACCTTGCATTTGCCAGGCAGGTGCTTTGCCGCTGAGCTAAATCCCCAGCCCCTCCGTTTTCTGGTATTGTGAAAAATACTCGATAAATTGCAAGGAAGTACTACAGATTTGCGTGGCTTCCCCAAACCCCCTTTGCCTTCTGCACCAAATCCTACCCTGTACTGTCACTCACTAAGAGTGCAGTTCTTGTTTTTGTTGGACACAGGTGTAGGTGGGGAGAAAGCAGGGAGAAAATGACAGCACAGTTTCCCTTCTCAAGGCCTGCTGGTTTTGGTTTGCTCCTCGTTTTTCTCAGCCTCAGGACCCTGCTGGTCGCAACCGCAAAACCTGCAAAAGATTTCCATACACAGAGATTGTTCTACTTACAAGAAGGTACTTTCTTTGTAAACAGCAAATAATGTACCTTTTAAAAATTCTTTAAAAACCCAGATGTTTTCTCCCTCAGCACACTGAGGCAGCAGCTTGGATTTCCCTGAGGCTACAGTGAAAGCTCAGATACGTGTGAGGGAAGCCCTGCTCAGCCAGCCAGATCTCACAGAACTGGGCAAAGGCAAGGGAGTGAGTGTATTCTACTCCCTCCTGCTGAAAATATGTGCTGGTCACAGAATGGGTTTTTTCTAAAACTCAGTGAATACTTTGAATGGATTCAATGTGGGTTTTTTTTTCCTTAAACTCAATAAATTTAAATTTCCTTAAACTCAATAAATTTAGATGCATTATTTTTTAAAGAGAATAAAAAAATAGTAACAAAATAACAACATTGACAAAAATAAAACAAAACAAAGGAAAAACAATAAAAATGATACAGAGTTTCAAAACAAAATGATAGGAGTGGTTCTTACTTTACATGTTGTTACCTTCAACGAAGTTGCTCAGGTTACCAGATGTAGGAATGCAAGGTTGATCAAACAATTAAAGAGAATAAATAATACAAACAAAAAACAGTTAGAAACGATACAAAGTTTCACTAGACAAGATGGTAGGAATTCACCCATGGTTGTTATATTGCATATTGTTGTCTTCAAATTAGTTGTTCAGATTATGAGATATAAGCATGCAAAATTGGTCCAAAAAATTTAAGCATTAGCTATTCCTTTCAATAAACCATTAGACATCAGCAGTACAATTATCCCAGCTATCCATATATATATATTTTTTTTTTTCCTCTTTCTTTCTTTTTCTCCTTTCCCTCATCCCAGTTGTTCCTTCCTTTGAGCAATTTCTTTTCCTTTCATATTAACTGTTGTACATTTTGGGTTTGATTTCCTCTTTCAGGTTCTTACACTAGGGAGACAATACAGTGTTTACACATGTGGGTCTGATTTAATTGACTTATGAGTATAGGCTCTAGTTGCATCTATTTACCTATAAAAGCCTTGAGTTTATTTTTTTTATAGCTGAGTAATACTCCATTGTATAAAAATGCCACATCATTTTTATCCATTCCTCAGTGGATGGGCATTTGGGTTGTTTCCAAGATATAGCTATTATAAATTGTGCTGCTATAAACATGGGTGCACATATTCTGCTGTGGTATGATGTTTTCAGTTCTTCTGGGAAAATACCCAGAAGGGGAATAGCTGGGTTAACTGGGACCTCAAATCCTAGTTTTTAGAGGAATCCCCACACTGATTTCCACAGTGGTTTCACCAGTCTATACTCCCACCAGCAGTGGAGAAGGTTCCTTTTTCCTAACATCCCCTCCAGAATTTGCTATTGGTTGATTTCTTGCTGATAGCCATTCTTTCTGGGGTGAGGTGGAATCTCAGTGTTTTAATTTGCATTTCTCAAATGACCAGTGATGTTGAACATTTTTTCATGTATTTGTTTGCCATTTGTATTTCTTCATCTGAGAAGTGTGTATGCATCTCAGATGTCCATTTTTGTATTGGGTTTTTGAATTTTGGAGGCCTGATTTGTTTTAATTCTTTTTATGTTATAGATATAAGTCCTTTGTCTGAGGGACAGTTGGCTGAAATTTTTTCCCAATCCATGGGTTTTCTTTTTGCTGTGTTGGTGATTTCTTTTGAAGTGCAGATGCTTTTCAGTAAGATGAGATCCCAGTTGTTGATTCCTTGAAGTATTTCACTTGCAGTTTGGTTTTTGTTCATGAACTCTCTACCTACCGCTGTGTATTCAAGATTTCTACCTACTTTCTATTCTCATACATTTAGTGTTTCCATGTTAATATTTAGAGCTGTCATCCACTTTGACTTTAGTTTAGTGCATGGTGATAGATACAGGTCTAGGTTTAGTCTTCAGCATATGGAGAGCCAATTTTTCCAGCACCATTTATTAAAGAAACTATATTTCTTCCAGTGAATGTGTTTGGCCCCTTTATCAAAGATGAGGTGGCTGAGTGTGTTTGTAGCTGTTTCTGCATCTTCTAATCTGTTCCATTGATCTTCAGGTCTGCTTTTTTGCCAGTACCATGCTAATTTTATCACAGTAGCTTTGTAGTATAATTTCAAGTCAGGGATTGTGATGCCTCCTGCTTTTCCTTTGTTGCCCAGGATTGCTTTTGCTATTGTAGGCCTCTTTGAGTTCCAGATGAATTTTAGGAATGTTTTCTGTAGATCTGGGGGTATACTAATGGTATTTTAATTGGGATTGCATTGAATCTGTACAACAATTTTGGGAGTATGGCCATTTTCACAATGTTGGTTCTTCCTGTCCATGAGCAAGGAATATCTTTCCATTTTCTGAAATCCTCTTCCATCTCTTTTTTCAGAGTACTGTAATTTTCACTGTATAGATCTTTTACTTCTTAAAATACTTGATTCCTAAGTATTTCATTTTTTTAGATGCTATTATGAAAGATGTAATTTCCCTAATTTCCCTCTCAGTCTGTTTGTTGTTTGTGTACGGGAATGCTGTTGATTTTTGAGTATTGACTTTATATCTAGTTGCAATACTGAATTTGGTTATTAAATTTATAAGCCTTTTTTGAGGTCTTCTGTATACAGTCTCATATCATCTGTGAAATAATAATTTCAATTCTTCCTTTCCTATCCTTATTCCTTTTATTTCTCTCTCTCTTGTCTAATTGCCCTGGCTAATATTTCCAGAACTGTATTCAATAGGAGTGGTGACAATGGACATCCTTGTCTTATTCCTAATTTTAAAATGAAAGCTTTCAGTTTTTGTCCATTTAGTATGATGTTGGCTGTTGGTTTGTCATCGATGGCTTAGATCAGAGTGAGGGAAAGACCATCTGTTCCTATTTTATGTGGGGTTTTTATCATGCATGAGTGTTGGACTTTATCAAGAGCTTTTTCTGCATCTATTAAGATGATCATGTGATTTTTGTCTTTGGCTCTGTTGATACAGTGTATGACATTGATTTGTGTATATTGAACCATCCCTGCATTCCTGGGATGAATCCCACTTGGTTATTGTGTATAATCTTCTCAATGATTTGTTGCATTCTGTTTGGCAGTGTTTTGTTGAGAATTTTTGCATCTGTGTTCATTAATGAGATTGGCTTGCAGTTGTCTTTGTTGGGTCTTTCTCTGTTTTGGTATTAGGGTAATAGTTGCCTGCAGGGGAGGCAAATTAGGGAGAATTCCTTCCCTTTCAGTTTCATTATAGAGTT